CCTTTCCAACCCTACCTATTCTATGTTTCTATGATTCTATATCCACTATTGAATTTCAAAGTATCTGTCAATATAAAGTAGATTTACAATTCTGTTATTAAAAGAAAATCATTGCTGCTGTAGGAAATAAACTAGCAAATGCAACAGAGAAAAAGGTAATGGAAATTAATTATATGTAACCTGAAGATCAGGCATAGAAGTACATAAATGAAAAACAAACAATTTATCTAAACCAGAAATCTTCAGGTTTGGTTTTTAAAAGTCAATCAACCTAAACCCCAAAACTGAACTTCAAAAAAGAATTTAATAAGGCAAACAGCTGAATGAAACTTACAGGGGTTATTGTAAGGTATCAAGCATCAAGCAGAATAAGATCTGCACCCAAAACCAGGTATTTGGAAGTCAGGGGAAAAAAACCAAACCCTTGGAAGACAGTGGGAGCTTCCAGATCGTTCCAAGAGTTTAAACTACCTGGATCATTCAGTACACAGATTTGTTTCATTTGAAACCCTGACTTCTGAGCAATCATAAGAGTCCCCACAGTTGAAGTAAAATCTGTTTGCAAGGCTTAAAAAGTCCTACAACTCCAGTATCACAGTTGAATCTTACTTGAAAAACAACACTGCCTTTCTGAAGATGAGAGCTTTCCAGTGAAGCTCTGAAAGTCAGCTTTGGGATGGAAAATGAAGATCATCTTATAGCCACAACCATACTCCATATCTTCTTAAGTGTAAGCAGACTATAAATTTGTATTAGCCTGAAATTGAGTTTAACCTAAGAGTATTATGGAAACTTTTCCAAAGGTTGCCTGACTTTTATCAGCTTAAAGACGTTTACTTCATGTATGATTTATTCTTCTCTTTGATACCAGCTACCACTCCAAAGTGGCACACCAGAATAACTAAAGCACGTGACTTATTATTCAGTCCCTCTATCTCTATTCTTTTTGTTGTTGGTTTGTTTGTTTATTCATCTCCTTCAGGAACAGAGGAAAAAATAAGAGGCTAAATGTGACAAGAAACTTTACGTCTAACAATTTATTTAAGAGCACAGTAGGTCAGTGTCATTGGTAACAGACAAGCTGTCAGTGCCAATACACTTTGCTCCTCTTGAGTGAACACAAAAAGATTGTATCTTTTCATCGATTAGGGAAATTAGCACAATTAGGCTGAAATTAGCTTTTGGATTCTGTTAAAGAGCCATATAGATTCACTCTCCTCACAGAATCCAACATCTTATTTAGGAAAACGTAATAATTTTTGGTTAGTGAGTTTTACAACAGACAAACACAAATTAGCTCCTAATTTAGGAAGTCCATTAATCTGCTTTGCTTATAAAAGACTTCATTAGGAACTGACAGGAATATCAAACAGATTACCATAAGGTGGAGTTCTGTTCAACAGCATCTGCTTAGAAGTGACTAAAGTGCTGTACATCAAAGTGGAGGTTGGCAGTAACTGTTTGCCACCACCCATTTTAAACAACTGGAAAGTGACGTACATCTTGCCACTTGGCAGCCCAGGTTCCAAAGCTATTTCCTTAAGGGATCTCACCCAGGCATTGTTATACAGAACAAATCAAAAGAAGTAGGGTAGTTTGGCCCAAAGCTATTAATATAAATAAATAAATAAATATCATTTATATATAAATGAAATGAGATATGTGTATCCTTGTTACCATCAGTAAAGCTGTTAGTTTGGGGCACAACGAGACACTCCTACAACAGAGCAAGAGCACTCTGCATTCCACCACAATAAGAAATTCTACTTCAGAGTAGCATCGCTCTACTATGCCCTCCTGTCTCCAACTCCATTTTATTCCATCAGCTGGGAATCATGCCCAAATGAAAGCCTAACTGTTTTACAGGCTCTAGAAAGAGTCCACACACACAACTAACCACTAACAATGGCAATGTACATGAAATGCAAGCATTACTTGTTTACTCATGTAAAAGCATTCACTCCAAGTTAAATAGTCCACATCACAATCCTGGAACTTACGAAATTCCTATTGTACCACCTGGCAAATACAACAGTTAGAAGGCAAGTGTGAGAGAACTAGAATACTGATTGCACCCATCAGTCTATTTGGAAAACCAGACCTCCAAATCTTCATTTTGATACTTTTAGTTATGGCCTTTAAACCTGGATCTGAATCCTGAAATATTTAAGCTACTAAGATGGTGAGGTTGTAACACTGAATGCTTTTGCCTCCCAGCTACTTTTCAGCTAATAGGAATCTTTCTGTGTAGTGCCAGTGCTATGGAGAAGGACGTTATGTCCTCCTGCCCACACCACTGCTCTTATTGCTGGAGAATTAAGAAAACACTCCCTTACCTACAAAATGGCTCTAGAAGGTCTGTTTAAAGATTCAAAATCTGAACTCTCAAACCAGCTTTCGTGTTCCTTCCAGAAGAAATTACTTCTGCAGGAGATGAGCCCAGACATCAAAAGACATTTTAGAGACTGGAAGGATGAGAGTTTCTGCTTCCATCTGGTGTCTGCTCTGCATTTGGGCCAAATGGTATATACCCTGACACATACAGAAGCTTCTCAATTCATAGTAACTGGCAGATACTTTGTGATTTCTGAAACTACTTTCCCATAGCAAATAAGCAAAGCTTTATTCTGATTTGATTCAGCACTTGAATTTACTCACAGAATTAGTTCCAAGAACTTGCAGCTTTGGTTCGCCTGATTCCAGAAGCTTGGCCACCATATGAAGAAAACTTTCCACAAAGGGCTTTATGCTTTGAGAATGGCAAGCCATTAGGAGCTGGTCTAATGCCTCCATGGCAATTAAAACATACCTGAAAATTAAGGAGATTCACATAAAGACACGTTACATTTATCATTACTCCAATTAGCTCAAGTTAGGTCCTTATTACAATAAAACTTAAAACAGAAAGAATGGAAGGCATAGATTTCCCACTGTCTAAAAACTGAAGTTATTGGCATTTCCTACATTGGTATTTTTTCTTTTCTTTTTTCTTCTTTTTTTTGGGGGGAAGGAGGCAGCAGTGAATTGAGTGATTTTAGAAGGGATGTCATATTACTTGGTAACAGAGTAAACACAGTCCAATTTTCTTTCCTAGCACATCTTGTTTTCACTTCTAAATTCCAGCTTTCTAGTCTACAGATCCTCTGTCTATCCAAATCCCAGTCTGGAAAGCCATGCTCCTGCATAGTCAAACAAATGCAAAGTAAATGGAAAAAAGAGCAAAGAAAGAAGTGACCAAAATTAATTACCCTAAAAAATGGCCACTTATCCCTTCTATAAAGGTTCTGAAAATAGCTTTTGACAGACATCATGGAAAGCCAAAAATGATGGCCTGCGGTGGATGTTGCCTTTCTTTTCTAACTAACTGCTATTTCTTAGACTCAGTATTTTCCTACTCTATTCCCACATTTTTAAAAAACTTTTCTCTCTTTTGACTCTACTTTCTTGAAACTTTCCAGCTCAATTAGAACTGAAGAGTATGAAAGAGTTTCAAAGTATCCCCAATTCCCAACATCCTGAATGACACTCAAGGGTGTATTGAGATTACATGTCAAGGTTTGGGTAGCAGAGGGGCTGCAACAGTGGCTTCTATGATAAGACACCAGGATCCGCTCCCATGTTGGACAGAGCCAGCTCCAAGACAGACCCACCACTTCCCAAAGCTAAGCCCCCTCATCAACACTTGTAGCATCCATGAAAGACTCCAGGGGAGCAGATATCCACACTGCAGCTCATGGAGGAGCCCATTCTGGAGCAGGCTCCTGGTAGGAGCTGCAGCCCTGTGGAGAGAAGCCCACACTGGAGGTTTGCTGGCAGGACTTGTGATCTGTGGGGAACCCACACTGCAGCACTCAATTCCTGAAGGACAGCATCCCATGGAAAAGACCCATACTGGAGCAGTTCTTGAAGGACTGTCTCCCATGGGAGGGACCCAACACTGGAGCAGGGGAAGAGTGCAAGAAAGAAAGAGCAGCAGAGACAAAATGTTATATGAGTTGACTATAACCCCCATCTTTGTGTGCTGCTTGTCAGGGAGGAGGTAGAGGAATCTGAAGTGAAGTTAAGCCTGGGAAGCTGGAGGGCTGGAGGAAAGGTGTTTTTCCTTCTCATTATCCTACTGTGTTATTAACTGGCACAAAATTAATCTTCCACAAGTTGAGTCTTTTTTGCCCATGATGGTAATTGCTGGGTGATCTCCTGTCCTTATCTCAACACAAGAGCTTTTAATATTATTTTCCCCCTATCTAGCTGAGTAGGAGGAGTAAGAAAGCAGCTGGGTGGCCACTTGGCAGCCAGACAAGGTTAACTTGCCACAAAGGGACTGGGTCTATCCTGCCTCCTAAACTTCATCACAACAAACCTGATGAAATGCTGCTACATGTTAGCATCTATTTCTGAACACTGTGCCTTACTTCCTTACCCATAGCGATGTCTGACAACATCTCTGCTCAGTCTCTCTGCTAGGTAAGCACCAATTCGATCCAGCTTTTCTGGTGCAGACACCGCATAGAAAGTCAGTTTCTCCATGTCAGCTTTAACAAGACCATCCTAAAAAGAGACATACAAAATACATAAAATAAAGCTCACAGAAAGTATAAAGCTTTTGAAGTATTTTTCCTTTTGCCTACTCAACGTTTAAAGATCTGAGCCATACAGATGGGAATAAGCTACTGAGAAAAAAACCAAACAACCCACAACTAGAGCAAAATTGTCATCAGCTTAGCTGCAAAAATCAGTAACATACAAAAATAAGTACAATATTTTTTAAAGAAATAAAGCAACTATTTCTCCTATCTTTTTTTTTTTTTTGAGGTGGGTGAGAAGGGTGGGGTAAAAGAAACTATTTAGTGGGATATGTCACCAGTTCTAAGACACATTTTTTAAACCTGTGGTACAATGTAATCTTTTACTTTTCCCCTTCACCTCCCAAAAATGTGTATGTGATGAATAATTTTGACACTACATACAAACAAGATTGTACTTTAAATATTTTATCTCTTCAGTGTCGTATCTTGGACATACAGGGTACCTGAAGCGTAACTGTACAGAACAAGAGCAATGATTAACATATTAGCTCCAATGGGAAATGCTGTATGTTATACAATGTGAGGCTGCAGTTATAACTACCAGGTAAGAAGGATAAGGCTTTTTGTCTTTTTCTCTTCAAATAAATGCCTTTAAAGCTTTTAACACACTCATCATTCATTAACACATTTTAGCAAGCAAGCCTTCTCACACATGTTTTCCCTCTAACACAGGGAAACATCATGGACTGGCTTGTGTCCTGCACTGAGCCCATAAACATTAACAAAAGCAGAGCCTAAGGAGTGCCATCTCAGAGCTACTGAGTGAGATTACAGCTGTAAGACTACATCCGTAGCAGTTCTGGGTGTTTCTACACTTGTATCAAACAAGTAGATTAAAACAAATAAATCTATAAAACCATGTTGGTCCATGTTTTGAACACCTGCAAAAAACATTTCCCTTGAAGCCAGTAACATACACTTACATAGTAACCAGCACCCAGTAACAACACATCTTAAAGAAAAGCCCACATACTTTGTAAGCTATGAGGAAAATGTTATACAAATGCTGACTGTTCTGCTTGCTTCTGCTGCAATACGAGAGAACAAAATCTGGTAACATATTTGAAAAAATACTGCAGCCCAAACATAAGCTCTTGATCAGCGTGAACCATCACATGGTTATGTACAGATACACGTACTGCTGCTTATTTTCACAGAGTAAAAACTAGGCTTTAACATAGCCCCAAGACTGTTACAGTGTATAAGAATAACTGCAGAAATAAAAACCCAACAACAACAAAAAAAAAACCCTTTGGATCATAACAGTCTACAGAACATTAAAAACAGTCAATATGTCAAGAGCTAGGAAATTAAAATCTTGTAGAAAACCAGAAAGTGTGCACACCTGCAACCATAGAACTACAAACGCTTGTTTTGTTAAGCAGTTAGGAAGCTAAACACTACCTCTGCTGCAGAATACCCTGTTTAATTAAATCTCTATTTCGCTGAACAAAACATCCTAATTTCACTCTTCAGTATCCACAGCCCTGCTCTGAAAAGGGAGTTAGACCAGATGATCTGTAGAGGCTCCTTCCCAGCTAAATCATTCTGCTAACTTCTATTAAAACTCTGAAGTGCTAAAGCACTGTAAAATGTTAAAATAGAAAACTAAAAAATACAAAGCATTAGTTACTAATCAAAATACTTCAAATGCCATTCCCTTAAAATTTGAAAGTCATCACTCACTTTTGGATCTTCAGGAAATATGTTGTCTACCAGACGCTTGTAGCGAGGTCTCAAAGCAGCACAGCAGCAGCACACTCCTGCAAAGAGATTCACCCAACAGAATTCAGAAATCAGTTTTAGGAACTCTGGTGTTTTCATATGAAGTGACTAGCTGACAAGCAAGGAGGAGAAAGATAGAGTGAGTTCAGCTTCTTGTTACTACCAGTAATAAAGCAAAATGAAGGTAACTGAAAATGACTGAGGAGTCAAATAAGCAACACTACTAATATAATGTAACACAAGAGGAAAATATGCAAGCATCTTGGGTACTAGAAATGCACCTGCCATCCTAAAAATCACACGTGCAGAAAGATAAATAAATTTAGTAATATTAAAACCAGGACTACTTCATTTGCTGTTCCATGCTCATTCTGACTGATCATTTCAAAACATATCTAAATGTGTGTTATTTTCACTTTTTCTACAAAAAGTCAACTATGAAGTCTTCTGTTTTACAGGCACCTATATAAAGCAATAGAAGCCACAACATAAAAAAATAGCTCTCCCTTCATTATTCCTCTATTTCACTGGGCATCAGGCAAAAGACAGTCACTTGAAGTGGACAAAGGAATTTTTCTGATCTCAATTGTACTCTACTACTACTACTGTACTCACATAAAGATCAGAATGATACATGCAACTTGCAATTTTATTAATTTAAAAAGTATCATACTGTCTGCTCTAAAAAGACAGGAAGCTACAAAGCACTCAGGGCTACTAGAATGTTGGAATACTTCCAGTTTATATTAGAAAT